AAAAAAGAAAGTTAAGATATTAATTACAGATTTTGAACAAATTAGAAATGAATGTGAAGAAGTTAATATTGACTATATAGAAATTAATGAAGAAATTTTTGAAGAAAAATCAAATTTAGAAGAAACATCTAGTGGGGACGAATAAAACTAGTTTCTAAAACCTATTATAAAGTTTGAGGACATGATTTGTAACAAAAACTCATTTCATTAAGCGTAAAATAGATTTTTATATAAAAAACCCAAATGGGTCATTTGACTCGGCTAAATTGAAAATTCTCCCAGCTAGAACTGGCCTGACCCAGCCAGTTCGACCCTAGGTGAAGCGGCGAACCGGGCCCAAAGCCGGCTGATTAGGTAGAGAATTCCATCCTTTAAACAACCGTGTCAAAATCTATAGACATATTTTCGATTTCATGCTTTAATAATTTCAATTTTCTAAAAAATAAAAACCTTCAAAGTTTCGTACAATTCCTAAGCCAATTTCACCATGGAACATATTTTTTTTAAAATCGTATCGATCCCACAAACTGAGACCTAAAAAATTGCCTAAAGTTTTGGGGGATAGGTTGATCCTAGGGGCGTATAATAAATAACATGAAAGCTATGCTACAACGATGATACCTATAATTAAAAAAAAAAAGGAAAAGGAAAGGAACAGCAAATCTGGTGAAAACAAAATAACAAAACCTACTTGAATGAGGTGAAGATGTTGATATTTCATAGGGTTCGTCTAACTTTGATTTGGTTTACCTTGATTGTCCAACTTAGATTTTGTTGCAATCAATGTTTTGACGATCAATTTGGACATCAACTTAGAAAAAAGTAAAGGGTCAATAGTCAAATTGTTGAATCGGTAGTAAAAAATATTTTAAAAAAAAAACAATTTTGAAGTGAACATGTCTATTTTTGACTTGTTTTAAAAGATATTCTTTTTTTTTTCTTTCGAATTTTTGCATACATTGTTACTCAAAGTATTGATCGAACCGGCCAATCCAGTTGTAAAACAATATTGGTTTTTATGGAATCATCCAACATATTTCTATTTCAATGTAATAATTCCATCTAATCGTAAGAAAAACTTATAGAATTCATGCTTGACCAACAACAAAATGTAACATGATGATTTTGAATAAACATTAAATTTAGAAATACAATTTTCCAGTACAAAAGAAATTGTGAAATTGTGTTGCCAAAAATATAAGTAGGTCACAAATTCCTTCAGTTTATGTGAAAGTTAAAGATGGGATAGGTAAATTCAAAAGAAAAATAATAGTAATAAGACGAGTGGTCAAACTAAAACAAATTAATGTTGAGTGACTAACATGAAACAATTTATAAGGTGGGTGACCTCCAATGAAATTTCCTTTTTTAAGATACGGTCAATAGGAGAAAAGTTTCAATAAGACGATCCTATATACACTAGTAAAATTATTGCTTAATCGCGACATTTCAAACCTCGAGTCATTCAAATCAGGACACCTTGGTGTCCTAGGTGTTAAGAAAGAAACAAAGTGGGTGTTCGAAATATCATGATTTGAGTGGTTTGAGCTACAAAACGTAGTCATTTCAAATCACACTACATGTATATACAAGACTGTCATACCAAAACTTATCTCGATCGATACCGTGACTTTACATAAATTCATTCCCACGGGTGAGTACACAGTTCCAACCAATGCATAAAGGAAAGAGAAAAAATAAAATGTTCTTTTCAATGAAGTCCCAGTGTTGTATAATTTTTTAACGTTCGATTTTTGTATAAAAACTTGATGTCTGATCTATAATCGACTTTTTGTGCTGATTGGATATCATTTAGCAATTCCCGATTCTTCTTTGAGTGAATCTCGAAATGGGCTTTGAAAATTGAGCTTTGATTGGAGATGGGCGAATTTTGAAGATGAATTTGCTTCCAAGATTCGTGTCTCTTTGTTGCTTGTTATTTTGTGACTAGTCTGGTTTACAATGGTTATATGGATCTTCAACTCCATTTCTTGTGCCCATCTTCAATTCAATTCCATTTCTTGTAGCATCAATGTGCATATGCAGGATGACATTCTAGAAATGTGCTTGGTGAGGCTCCAATTCGAAAGTCTCATGAATACTCGTCTTGTTTGTAGGAAATGGAAGAACTTTGACCACAACCCCTCGATTTATGCAGATAAGAATTGAAGGCTTATTCCGGAGTCCATGGTTCTTTCTGTTCAGTGTTGTTAAAAGTGGTTATTGTTCAGGGGAAATACATGCATTGAATGTTTCCCTTAAGTAATGCACAAAATAGATGCTAAAATTCTCAAATGGAGGTTCTAGTTCTCTGTCTCTAGCATTCGGGATGATGTTTACATAGTTGGAGGTCGTTCTCGCTTGACTACTTTTGAAAAGGTGGGTAAAAGCTCATTCAAGACGCACGAAGGAGTTTTGGTCTTTAGCCCCTCGACTACAACGTGCAGCAAAGCTGCATCCATAAAGTACAGTAGATCGTCGCCTATTTTAGGAATTTTCGAGATTTGTCCTGATTGATCAATCATCAGAAATTAGAAAAATTGATAGGATAGACATTTAACAGGTCAATGGTTGGTGGTATATCAGATGTCTACGAGGATCTTCGGACTTTCACTCAGACGCCAATCTAGACAACCTTTTGACGAATATCATATTGCCCAATATCGTGGCAAAAAAATGAAAACCAAAGATATATTGATTGCTGTGGGAGGCTGAAATCAGACATGAAATTCTGTATTTCATTAATTTATGTACAATATAGCAATCCTATTTATAATACAATGAAAGGAGTAAAAAAGGAAAAAAATACTAATCTCTTAAATAAGACAGTAAATCAAATAATATAATTACAACATTATTTTAGGTAAGAAAAATCTCTGTCAATCATCTCCAATCAATTAAGTCTCTAATGCAATCATTTGGGATTTGAACACTCCCTCTCATGTTGGATCGTAAATATTGACCATATCTAGCTTGCATATGAAATCATCGAATTTTTGTCGAGGTAGTCTTTTGGTAAAGATATCTACAGTTTGTTCTTGTGTGGGGACGTAGGTCATACAAATCGTTCATTTCTCGACATTTTCTTTTATGAATTGTCTATCAACTTCAACGTGTTTAGTCTTATCATGATGAACATGATTAAGTGAAATGTTGATTGCTGCTTTATTATCATAATAAAGCTTGATTGGAAACTTTATGGGAACATGTAGCTCTTCTAGGAGTTTTCTTAGCCATAATCCTTCACATATTTCTTATGCAACTACTCTAAATTCTGCTTCAACGCTACTTCTGGCTACTACATTTTGTTTCTTACTTCTCTATGTTACGAGATTTCCTCACACAAATGTACAATACCCAGTAGTTGACATCCTATCTTCTATAGAGCCAGCCCAATCCGCATCTGTGAATATTTCAACACCTTTCCTTTCACTTTTCTTGAAAAATAATCATTTTCCCGAGGAACCCTTAAGATATCTAAGTATCTTGTAGACTGCTTTTAGATGACTTTCCTTTGGAGAATGCATATGATG